TTAGTGGCTGTTTATTATTACTTGTTCTCAACATAGTTAACAGATATGAGTCTGAAAGTTCAATATGTGGCACTTTCCATGTAATATTTAAAAGTTTTGATGTAAGCTTTTCTTTTTCTGTAGTTGTCTTCATAACAGCATCATTTTCTTTAGCTCGTATTAAAACTAATCATGTTTACAATTAGCAATAATTTTATCAAAAACTTCAGCAAATCCAAGCAGGTTTTCAATGGTAAACAAAAATTAAAATGTCCAGTCTTTGGAGGAATATTTTCAAATGGCACCACCCGGCATTTTTTAGATTTGTACTCTCAAATTCCTTAAGTGATACATAATTTTTTATTTCTGTTGCAATACCCGACTTTCTTGCGCGATCTATTTCTATTCCATTTATTTCATATTGTATCTCCTCGAATAAATAGGACATACATTTATTATTGAATTACTATTTGTTATGTACCCATCAATGTTTAAAATACTTTCATTTGGTAGCACATATAGGTCTTGATTTTGTAAGGGGATCCGAATTTCATCATTGTTTTGAAAGGATTGTAAATATGGTATATAGCAATGATAATCCTTTTTTATTATACAATTTTCGAAAATGGGTTTATACAAAACGTTTATTAAATATATTACTCATTTTTTCAAATTAAATCCTAGACTTATTAGAAACTCCTTAAATCAATTTTATTTTGAACAAGAGAATTTTCCTCTTTGGATAGGTTGTTATTAAAAATTTGACTGAAATAATTATCAAAACACTTTTTTATTTATAATACACATATATTTTGTATTTATTTTTTAATTTAAGTCACTAACATTCACCCAGGAATTGTGTTTAGAAGAGAATCCTAACCATTTAATATAAACTCTATTGTTTCGACGTCTCAAAACATTTCCAACTAAATATACATGAGGGAGTTTAGTTTTCATTAGTTCATATTCATAGAATCCTCCCTTTATAATATTACATTGATAGTCTTCAAGTATATATGTTGTAGGATTTGTGTTTTTAGTTGATTTTATTTTAAAAACTTCTGTAAGCCAATTTGGTGTATACACCTTTTCAAATACATGTTCATATTTACTTATTCTAACCTCATTATTTATTTTAAATTTTGGTCTATGAAAAACTTTTAAATTGTTGCATGCAGTGGCCAATAAAGCTTGTTCTTTCGAGGAATTGACCTCATTTGGAGTCATTCTGATGGTCCTGTGAATAGTGTTATTATAATCATTGACTAAATTTTCATAGATATCAATCCATATATAAGTTCCCCGAAAACTAAACTCTTTCCACATCATTCCTTCTAATGTTCTATTGAATCGTTCTATTATAAATGCTTTTAATGATGAAAATGTTGAATAATGATTGATATTTTTTGTTTGTAATAAGATCTTAAAGTTAGTATTATAAAATTCTTTTCCATCATCTGTTTGCAGGTTTTTCGGTATTCGGCTAGTTGAGTTTAAAATCATAGCCATTGCATTTGTTACGTTTTCTTTAGTTTTATTTTTAACTGCTTCAACCCAAGCTTTTTTGGAAAATGTATCGATCACAGTTAAAAGATATTGATACTGATTATTAATATTTGAATGCTGAGTCATTACTACTAAATCAGCCTGCCACAAATCATCGATTCTTTTAATCATAACATGTCTTCGTTAAAAGCTTTTTCTAGCTTGATTATGTAATTCTTCTACAATAGCCCTTTTGCTATTCATTTTGTTAATCTTTTTATAGTAGGGAACTTTATTTTTAACACTTCAAAGTCTTTTTCAGTAGGATGTTGTTTCAGCGGAACGAAACGCATCAAATAATCCCCAATAGTTGATAAATAGTTGTTTATATTATGTAATTCTTCCCCACATGCACATTTTATTCGTTGGTCTATGAGATCTTCTAGAGTTGATACATCATTTTTAATACTACTATTCAGGATTACATTTATTTCTTTGATTTCATATTCTAATTTGTTTTTCATCTTTTTTTAACGTATCTTCCCTTAATTTGACTATTGGAATTATAATTACGTTTGTGTGCACTTGTATCTAATAAAATCTGTCGATAGGTCTTCAAATCACACTTTTTATAATGTTGTGGGTTTTTATGAAATATTAACTCAAACAGATCTGGTGTCATTTTCCATCTATCCTTTCCGATCTCTATAACTCTTTAGAAATATTTTTTAATGGGTTGAGTCCGAATCGCCATCTATATTCGGACCAATTTTATGTTTTGTAATAGTGAATGGGGGTGAGTAAGCTTAACTCGTTTAAAGTCTTCATTTAGTTGACTTTCAGACGGACGTTTTACAAATTTATGTCTTTCCTATAGATTAGGATTTTCTTCTTAAAATATCATATTCATTTGGAGAAGTATATCATTATACGATTCAGCTGGTCTTAGGTTTTCTACAGCTTTTTTTTAGTAATTGTTCATCGTTTGGCTTACTAGGAACATATGGTTCTGGCCTTTCGGGGTCATTCATAAAATTTTTTTTTTATTAAAACATTGTTCATTAATGATATCAATAGCTTCTCGCTTTTCTGGTTTTTTATCAATATTTTATTTAATTTTCAATACATTGCTTTGTGCAGCTGCTTCCATTAATTCATCGTCATGAGGTTTACTTGAAATAAACGACGCTGGCCTTTCAGGGTCATTCAAAAAATTTATTTTGTGTTTAACGCTAACAACCTTATCTAATTTTTGTTTTTTTTTATCAAAGCATTGTTCATTCACGATATTAACAGGATTTCGCTTCTTAACATTTTGTTTCCGAAAACTGCCTGGAGAATATTCTAAATCAAGATCATTAACATTCATATAATTTTCAACGGTTGGTAATGTATCAAGTATCTTCACTTTCTTTTACACTGTCCGCCGGCCAAATTTCATCATTACCATTGAAATTAGTAACATTATATTTATTAGAGCTTTTAAAGTTATCAACTAATTCATTTAATGGTTTTGAAATGGATTTAAATGTATCCTCCAACAAGTTTATCCTATCCAATTCTTCCAATTTTATTCTTTTAATTTTTTCTTTCAATACTTTTCTGTTCTTAGCAACATTTGCTAAAACAGTCATCTGTTTATTTACCATGATCTTTAAAGAGTGATTGAAAACCTGCTGCCTATGAGAATTTGGTCTGATATATGTTTGTATGGATGTTTTATACAATAATTGTCTGAAATTATCAAAACCCTTTTGATATCGACCATTGTTTATAGGATCATCTTTACTTATAACAACAAAGCCGTATTTATTTTTCCAAGATTCAACACAAATTTAAAGATATTTTATATAACATAGCTCTAATAACATGAACATAATAGATATGCTTAAGATTCATTTCATCTTGCTTGAATACAATAATCATGTTTGCATTATCACGAATTGAGTGTTTAGAAATTTTTGTATAAATAAAAAGAATCAATGTTTTTATTACGACCCATACAAAAATATTCTCGTATTGTTCTTTGTTTTCTTTACATCATCGAATATAAAAATTGAGTCCGCTTTGGCTTCAGTGGGCTTGATAACATCAACGTTTTCACTAAATGTAAAAAGATTTATTGCTTTTATCGGATCAATAAGCCTTTTTAGATAGATGTATTTCGGTTGATATAATGACTTTGAATAAATGTACATATTTCGGAAATTAAGCCCGTTTGGGTTTCCAATTAAACTGAGCATAACATTAGTTTTTTTTTGGGAAAAGTGGACTGTGTCTAACAACATTTTTAACATTTATATAGTTGTCAGCATTATTAACCTTAAGTTGGAGACGTTGTTTAACTACTTTACTTTTGTTTACTATATTTATAGCAATATAAACCATCACTTTTATAATAAAGACATCATTTAATCAAAAAACACCTAATGGGACAAGTACATAAAAAGATTGGAAAGGGTTTTGTAAATAATTTGATTAATTCTTTACCTATTGAGTTTCATTTACCCGGATATCAATTTTGTGGTCCTGAAACAAAACTCCGGCAACGGTTAGAAAGAGGAGGTAAAGGTATAAATCCTTTAGATACGGCCTACAGAGAACATGATATTGCATATTCTCAAGCAAAAGATATAAATACCAGACACCAAGCTGATAAAGTTTTATCTGAGAAAGCCTGGCAGCGTGCTACATCTAAGCACAGTGATTTAAAGGAATGGACTTTAAAAATAAGAAAAGAAAGACATCTAAATGTAAAAAACGTAGAAAGATGAAAAACGGAAAAGTATCATCTAACAAAATTTTTTTGATGACAGTTAAAAAAAGTATCAACATGCTTAACAAAAAGAAACCGCAGTCATTCAATGAGGCTTATAAAATTTCTTAAGATGTCGTAAAGTCTAGCTTTAAAAATAAAAAAATAACATACCATGAATGTTTTCAGTTCCAAAAATTGGTGGAATTTTACCACTACTTCCTATTTTAACGGCATTGGGTGCACTTGGTGATATAGCATCTGGTGGATCAGCTACAGCAAAAGTTAAATGATGTTAGGAATGGAAAGGAGCAATTGGCTGAGGCTAGTCGCCATAATAGATATATGAAATCAATCGCTATGGCTAGGGGTTTATTCCTCAAGCCATAGAAAAAGGGATATGGTTTATACTTACGCCCCTATCCAAAAAACTAATTAAAAAGCTACCCAAAAGACCATTAACAGATTTAAATGTTTAATGAAATATTGTAAACATCTTAAATATTTTAAGGGAATTTTTATGCGAAATTCTTTACCAAATAAATCGAAATCATATGAATGTGGAATTCTTAATTTAGATGATGCTGATGGTCCTGGTACTCATTGTGTAGCATACTATTCAAACAAAAATTATAAAGAATATTTTTTTGATATTTTTGGAAATTTACAGCCACCGATATATTACAATTATGAACAGAAACAAAAATATAACACAGCAATATGTGGTCAATTATGTTTATAAATTTTTATTTAATAAAAATAGTTAATGTATTGTAAAATATAAATTGTTTAATTATTTTTTATTTTTTTATATTATAAAAACTAAGTACTACTATGACTATAAGCATATGTATCCATATGATTTTCTCGTACAATTCGCTTATCATCTAGATTGCTTAGAGCTACTTTATAAATATTTTGAGTATATATTGTGTGAAATTTAGATCTAAATGTATACATAGAAGCAGTATAAATTTTATTTTCCAACAGACATTTTCTGAAACCACTTAAACTCAATGTAGAAGTATCTAACACACTTTTTAATACCCTTAATTCTCTCAGTTAGCTAGGAAAGTTAAAAATATTTTCTATTGGATATGAAATGTCAACACGAATATCATTATAAAAGTCGTCAGTTTGAATATCATATATGAATGAATCAGTATCCATATAATTCAAAGCAATATTATTTTTCTTAAATTTAGAAAGTAAAACGGTAAAACCAATATATATTGGCTTATTGTACAGAACTGACACTTATTTCATTTGAATCGCTATTAAGTTATCAGAAAGTTTGGTTAGACTATGGAAATTTGGTTTTGCTATTAAGGCTCTAGCACCTTATTCTACCTTCCGCTTCTCCCAATATTAGTATTTTCCCAATCTTGTACTAGTTTCAGTTGTTTATTATATAAACACTTAATAAAATAACAATAGGCATAAGGAATGTGTTCTTGTATATATTTAGGCTTAAGAATACATTCGAAATCTGCATATATAGTAAATGGTACATTTAATTGTTTTTTAAAATTTTCAAATTTTAATATTCATTTTTCAGGGTTACGCATTTTATGAATGAATAACTCTTCTTCCTTATAAAAATGTATTAGACACATATTACAAAAATATATTTTTTCACATGTCTTGTAACTAGAGATCCGAGTAATTTATTTAAACTTTTTATCCAAACATTATGGCTCTCATTGAAAATATCGCTGTGTAAAGAAATGAGATCAGCGTGATTCTATTTTTCTTCTTTTGTTAAATAAAAGAGGCCTACTATCAAATTCTCCTCTATCCCAAACACATTTACACTTATATTTGGATTATTTGATTCAAATATTACAATATCTTTTATTTGTAATGGGAAATTCAAATTTTCAAAATTTACTACTTTACCATTATTTAAAGTTATTATAGAATTTTCGATATTTTTAATGTTATATGAAGAACATCTTTCTCTGTTTTTGAGGGGTGGTAAAGAGATGAAATTATGGCCCACTTAAAGCGATATAAATCATTATTAACAATATTAATACATGCTTTTTTATCTGCAATTATTTTTGGTAGTGGTGTATATAATGAGCCTCTAATTGGTTTCATGTTTACTTCTAGATGAATAATATCACTTAGACTCCAACCACTATCTCGCTCTTTAAATGTATTCATTTTTTCAATCAACTAAACTTTTAATTATATGAACAACATTGCTGTTCTCCATAAACGCTACAGTCATTAATGTTTGGTGTGACAATATAGCAAATTCTTCAATATTTTCTTTTATTTGAATGTATTTACAAAATAACTCAAAGTTAAATTTGATGCTTTCATGCTTTTCTAAAGATTTCTGTAAAAGTTCAGATAATTCATTTAGATGTTTTTCAAAAAAATGTTCAACAACTAAATCATTGGGCTGATCCTTTTTCAAAGCGAATGTTTCAATACGATTATTAAACATAGCATTAATACATTTAACATTACTATTTACACTATACATACAATTTTTTTATGTATGTTTGTTCTCAAGTGTGCTGCCCATACACTTTCTCTCACTTGAACTTTACATTGCTCACAAAAATTTGTTTTTTTTTTAAACTCATTGTTTCATTGTAAATAATATGCTTGTCTAAACTCCTCTTCCGAACATATATCTTTTCATAAAAATTACACGGATACATTTGGTAAAAAAAAATTTCACCAGGTTTAATCAATTCGATATGAAATGAATTATTATTTATTGTTTCAATAGTTGAATCTTTTAACGAGTTGTAGGATTCCGGAAGAAAAAGAACATTTTCATCAAGTTGAAACAACGGTCGCCTCAAGCACTTCACTGAAAATACGTTTAATATATATTTTAATTTATTTGGTGTGGAACAAGTAGCCTTATCTTATCTTTATTGTAATATATCGTGCATCGGAAATTATAGTTCGGCAAACCATATTCACACTACAAGTGAAATCATTGTTAGAACACATTTTAGTATCAAGTAGACAGTGTAATAAAAAGGAAAAAAATGTCTTCCTCGAAATATATATAAGAGTTTTTAAAAAAATATAACGATTTAATTGATAATGAACATCAAATATTTTTTTATTCCATAATAATAGAATTCCGATCATGTTTAACCGAGCCATTCATATATTCACCCAATGGATTACACAAGAAATATTGTCTTTTTGCTGATAAATCATACAAAGAAGTAGTAGATATGTGTAATTGTATTTCGCTTTATTCCCGATTTAAAACATTGAAAAAAATTTATAATTTATATGCTATCATGTTTAAGGAGCCTAGACGATTGTAATCATCGTGAGAACACATTTTATCAAATCACGAAATGATAAATCTAAATACAAGAAACTTACAAATATAAAAAGATATAAATAGGAATTATATTTTATAATAATCTTATTGTAATAACATTAACGTGGAGCAATGGATTCTGAAAATTATGTAAACTTTGATAGTGAACAACCAATGTTTAATTAGGGGATTGATCAAGAAGAATTCGAAAAGATTTTAAAAAGTTTCGATGAGGAAGAATTTAAAAAGCAGCTTCAAAAATTAGAAGAACCCGTTCAATCCCTACAAGGTACAACTGAAGTGAAGACATATGCACCACATAAGCGTAAGAGACAACGACCTTCAAAGATAATACAAGCTGAAGGTTCTTTAAAAAAAAGCCACCCAACTAAAAGCTAACACCCAAAATGAAAATAAATGTATTGATCTTTCTGAACTAACACTAGCAGCTCTTCCTTTAAATGAAGTTATAAACACTAAAGGATTATTAAATGATAAGGTGGAAGAAGTTCCCTAAGTTGATATTAATTTTAAAAATGATGAAGATATTCAGAAATTAAAATCTTTAATACATCAGTGGTTTGTTGATGAAAGTGAAAGTGAAGATAAACTTCTTTATGAACTTTTAGGAATTGTATATAAATATAAAGATACTAGTGGTTTTGCTCGTATTAAGTACTTCAAAATATATATATATGCATTTATTAAATTTAGTTTTAACAAATGTTTTATTTATAAATGTATAAATATTTTAAATTTGAAATAGTATATTTTATAAGAATACAAAAAGTATCATAAAAAATAGTTAAAACAATACTGTTTCTTTTATTATATTATATTCATCAAATTTTACTGTAATCGGAAATTGTGTGGCATATGTAGCACAAATGAACTTCAGTATCTTCATATGTTTGTGGTTTCATAAAATAATCACGCACACGCACACGCTCACACACGCATAGCCGGGCGGCCTGTAGTAACAGGTTAGTTGCGAAATAAGGTTAAACGAATAAGCAATCCCCGACAATGAGCGACAGGAGCGGAATATGCGGTATAAAAGGCGATGCGTCCGATGATGCTTCTGTGACAGTGGCGAATCGACGCCGCCTCTTGCAAATAGGTGTTGAATTATACAAAATCCAGGCGTGGCGGACCCATATTGCGCAGTCATCACATTAGACGTGAAAAATGCCTTTAATTCGGCACATTGGCCGCACTTTATGAGGGCATTAGAGGAGAGGAATACTCCAGGGTATCTGCTGATGATAATAAATAGCTATCCGTCTGACAGACTGCTATTGTATGATTCCGAGTCAGGGCGATGTGACAGGAGGCGTACGCAGGGATCGGTACTGGGTCCGTTGTTGTGGAAGGTGCTATATTATGGGGTGTTACGCCTACCGCTGGGGCGATTGTTGAGAAAGAGCTTACTCAAATTCAAAGCACATACAGTGAGGCCATAGAAAAAATTAAGGACTGGCTCACTACGTCTATGGCTACAACTTGCTGGAGAAAATACAGAAGCTGTTCTTATCACGAGCAGGAAAAAACTTGAAGTGGTCACCCTGGACGTCGATGGCCATAGTGTTACAACGCAAAACTCACTGAGGTATCTTGGAGTAATGATCGATGCAAGTCTCAACTTTAAGGCACCTATGGCGAGAATCATAGGTGGTCCTAGTCATAGTAGGAGAACTCTACTAGCTTAAGTTAGCCAGTCAATACTGATGTATGCAGCTCCTATATGGAGCAAGGCTCTGCGTCAAAAAACATATGCCAACAAGGCAAATGCAGTTTTCAGGCTAAGCGCCATTAGAGTTGCCTGTGCATTTAAGGCGGTGTCGCATGAAGCAGCCAGCATCATATCCGGCATTATGCCACCAGATATAATGTTTTCGGAGCTCGGCAGAGTATATCAAAAGACAAAAGCCGAAAGTAGACGCCTAACAGCCGACGAGCGTAAGAGAGAGAAACTGACAAGCCTCGCCGGGTGGCAAAATAAATGGGACACGGCAGAAAATGGAAGGTGGACCCATAGGGTCATTAAGAACCTACCAGCCTGGATTGAAAGAGAACACGGCGAGACAGACTTCTACCTGACACAATTCTCGTCAGGCCATGGCTGTTTCAGAGAATATCTTCACAGATTTGGCCACGATGACGGGACTGAATGTTCCTTCTGCAACAGTGCCGCAGAAAATGTGGAGCATATCTTCTTCTCCTGCTTGAGGTATGAAGTGGAGAGATCCACTATAGAGCAGATGATAAACGAAAGGTTGACGCCTGATAACATTGTGAGTCACATGTTGCAATCGAGGTTGGTATGGGCTAAAATGAAGGAATGAGCCGCGATAGCGCTGCGAGAACTTAGAATTAAAGAACGGCAACGGAGAAATGAAAGACCAGGTGAGTAACTTTTCAGAAAGTGTCTGAAGAGGCATTTTAGCTTAGCTTGGCCCTGCGAAGTAGTGCTTAACGGAGGTCCCGCAGGGCCAAATACAAGCTACAGCAGCCGGAGTTAAGGGTTTTAGTTACGAAGGCGTATTGCTTCGCAAGTCCAGTATAGTTAGATAATACCATCTGTTCGTGGTCCCGAATGCGGTGTACCTTTAGCGTACGATACGAATTGTGCATGTCGCCCGGAAAAATGTCGGTATCTTCCGAAGATTCCCCCCTCCAAAAACAGAAAAAAAAAAAGAACACACTTTTAATTGAAACAGGAGCGCTCACTTTTCCCTCCCAAAAAAGGGTCCAGGGCCCACAGACCACTAGCACCCATCCCCCAAACCCCCCAACACCGTTTCGTTAGCTGATCGATCGCTTATCGGTGACCGTTAAAGCTAAGGAATTATTTGAATTGAGCTGAAGTGAAATTATTTATTAAAATATTGAGTTGCGGTGCAACAACGCTTATGAAAGGAAGTGCGTTTTTATTTAAAACTTTGGGCCCCCTCGACCGCCGGGACCCCCGCGCTTCTCTACGTGCTTAGAGACTTAAGTAATTAAATTTTTAATTTTCTTTAACATGTCAATTGTGAATTTGAAGATTCGAAGACAAGATCATAGAGAAGGTCGGTTGTTGCAGTAGTTTTTTATGCCCTTTTCCGAAAATATCCTTTTCATTTTGGTTGTTCTGCAAAAGAAGTGATGCGAAGTAATATTCGATGTGGTGAAATAAAGTGGCGATCAGCTGAGATGACTGCTGCCAAATTAAAAAATTTGTTTGAGGCGAATCCAATTTGAGTTAAGAAAATTTTAGCAATCGAAATAAATGCTATCATTAACAGCAAAATCTGAATCTGTATGACGAGAAATAAGAAATCTCTTTTTGTTTTTGTTTAAGCATTCGTGAAACATCATTTATGATGCAAAATAGCTAATAAACACAATCGAGGTCATCTATCTAGTTGAAGCAAGGAAATTGCTTATTTCGATAGGTTGTGAGCGAACGAAAATATGTGTGTTTTGGGCGGCAAAAAGATGGTTAGTGTCGAGCAGAGCGCATGTTCGGTGGAGGACATTATCATTAAGCTACTGTTGTTTCATCATTACTTTATCACTCTCATCATATATATATTAATTCAATCTACTTTTAAACGAAAGTCAAATGTCGTGTATCTTCATTTTTTTATTGCGCATTACTCACTTTGTTCCTGTTTTTCTTTGGGTGTTTCCATGATTAATTCTTTATTTTTTTTAATCACAACCTTTATTCACACGGACGATTAGGTATGGTTAAGACCATTAAATAGATAGACGTATAATAAGTCATAATAATTATATCTTTGTGTGCCTCCTTAAACTAACTCATGCAACACATCTCTCCCTCTGGTCAGGATCTATTGAAATAGCGCATTTTCTTCCGCTTCGGTTAGATGAAATTGATGACGTTAGTAAGATTGACTATTAAAATTTGAAACTTTGAAACGTATCGAACTGAAAAATTCAAAATAATTTTTATGAAAAATTAGCACAAAGCGCCCCCTTCCTTGATCTTTCACAATAATGCTATTATTTTTTGCACATTATAGTTTGAGTTTATTTTAAAAAATTATTTTAGGTCGATGATCTTTAAAAGTGTTTAATTATATTAAACTATATTTCTTTTTTACTTTTCAGTTAACTATGAAAGTGTTTTTTTTTTAAATTTACTTTTACCGTACTGATTCACTTCTTAGATCAATCCTGGTGACATGGTAAAAATAATTGGATACATTTATGTAAATATTGTATTAACTCCGGTTCTTAATATGTGCACAAAATTTGAATTAAATCTGTCCGTTGTAAATACTTAAAATCGTGCCCAAAGCTGATAAAGGCTAGGTGGGTAGATAACGAACATCCTAATGCATAAATGATTTTCAAAACTTACCTTTGCTCTGAAAGTGATACAATATGATTGCCTGGGTTGGTGCTACTGCCATTTCAATGATTCGTTCTCCTATTTCAATAACTATACTAACTCGGCCGGTTACTGGTCGCCAATTTAATGTCCTGTTGCCTTTATATGCTTCATAAGCTTTAGTATATTTGTCGAATTCATTGGCAATTTCCTCAGGTAGTTCTAAGCTTTCCTTATTGAATGACGGCCAAAATTGTGCAGATATTATAAATGTTGATATATCAAACATTTTATCTATAATACAGATTACAACATTAGAAAAATATATATGACAAAATCGAAATTATTTCTGGAAGTAAAGCTTATTATAATGTAAATATTTGCTTATAATTTCTTCTAATATAATTAATAAAAGAAATGCCTCTTCAAATTCTACGCCCCAAATTTCCCACTGAAGCGGTGATTTTGGCTTCTTGATGCGTCTCCATTAGTCACACCGATCCAGAAGTTTACTCATGAGGGATCCCATTAAAAAGATTCGACATAAAGCTGGTCAAGGCGCGATTACCAAGTAAAAATTTCTTTCGGTAACCGCATTTCATCGGACCCGAAAAAGTACACGAGCTATTTTAGCCGACATTTTACAAAAATGAAGCGTAACTCGCAAACCGCCAAACACCAACGCCCAGGGGTGTTTTAGTAATGGGAAAAAATCAATCCTACTAGCACTGGATCCGTCAAAGGCTTTTGATGCTGTCATTCAATTAGTGCTACAAATTGAGGACTCTACATTACCGCCATGGTTGAAGAGGTGGGCCATGGACACGACAGTCAAAGGTAGAATTTAGAGGTCAAACATCCCAACACGACGCTAACCATCTCTTTACTCTTAAGCTAATATTTTAGACAGGCGAGTGCCTCCTACTTCAGAATCTAAAAACTCTGTCCTTTGCTTTGCTTCTTAAGAACTTTATAGCGGATTCGAATTTAGTGGCTGGAGAGGTTAGCACTGTTCATCCAACACTTTACTATGGATCATATATGGGTTAGTATTAGGTACTGCCATCCTGAAGCCCAGGGTTCGAATCCTGATTCGACCAACATCCATTATTACCTAAAATCTGTTTTTCTATTATATGTGCGATCGCGCTATCACAAAAGTCCATGGGCCGTTCAAAGTGGCTTGGAGAAACTGTAGGTCTCTCCATTTGTTGGAAAACCACATATCGAAGAAAAAATTAACTTTTTCGTGCTTATTTTTATGTTTAGTTATGAAAATAGATTGCATACATGATCGTCAAACAAATGGTAAAATTTTAAAGGAGTTTGAAGGGACTGAATTGAAAGTGTAGCAGAAGTCTTCGACAGTATGGTAACCAATGTCACACAACACGAGCGAATATCGCGATGTCAATTTGCAATCGGAAGCGTGGGATTTGTCACCGTTGGACTCTTTTTGTGGGGCTACGAGAAAAACCTTATTTATGTATTGTAGATGAACATTTAACTTTTGAGCACACAAAAAGCAACATTCGTCATGTTACGGCTCTGATAGCGCCCAATATGTGCCATAAAGTTTAATTAGAACTTAAAACTTCTTGTGTTATAATATCAATTGCGCAAATATGTATATTTTTATTAGTGAAAAACAAAGATAGCTAATGACATTTGCAGTTTATACTTACTTTCGTTGAATTTGGAGTCACTAGCGATATGGGAGTTAATACGTTTTGAGTCTGTTATATCCTTCAGCATAACTTCACAACTATGAAGTAGAGACTCACCGAATCTAAGCTTAAGTAATTCCAAGTTTCGAATTTCCTTATCAGCATTGAAATCCAAAGATGTCAGTAAACGATCTGCCATTAAGTTGCGATATTCATTCATAAACAATTCCTTACTTCCGTATATATCGACTACCATAGAAATTATATCTGCTGACCGGTTAATATTTGTAAGCTGCACGCGCGCTGATTGATCAATACCAAATGAGTCTGGCAACCAATTTTCCCAATTATTTAACTCTTCATTGCCATCAATTTTATCATTGTCTTTTACAGTTTCTCCTTTAGCAAGCTCCTCTGTTAAATCAGTAGGACCTTCTTCAGTTAGACCTGTCACTACTCGACGAACTGTATCACTCCGTTTGCAAAGGTACTCTCTAATTGGAGCCGTTACAGTCTCCAATATAATCCCACTATTATCAAGATACCGAATTGCTTTAATAGCAGCAATATAGCCTGTTAAAATATCCATTGTATTTACGCCCGGATGTAGAACTCGAATTTTAAGGGTATTTGAGAGAGTTTGAATAAAGTGTTTTCTCATATCTATCTTTTCCATACAAATTTTTAAATCATTTATAGCAGGAATAGATTCAGGAAAATCTAAAAACACATATTATAAAAAAGAAAAAGAAGCAAATAAATGTAATTTTTGCTTCTCGATTTCCATAATTTTCCTTTAAAGTAAGGATTATATATGAGCTCTAAATTTTTCAAATAAAAAATAATCATATTCTTGATATTTAAAACTATTAATCAAATATAACTGGTTTCTTTTGAATCACATTTTAATCACATCATAAATATTCATTCCACTTTGATATTTTAAAGTTTTGTTCAAAAATCATAAGTATTTTTTTAGTTATTATATACCGTGTTTTAAGTAAATCTAAGTAATCTTAGCAAAACAGACAACTTTTGTACCGAATTTCAAGTAAATTGAATTACAAAAATAAGATTTCCATTTCCGGAAAGAATTGTAGTCTTCTCGTTAATCTAAGCAAAAAGACACGTATGTACCGAATTTCAAGTGAATTGAACTATAAATAAGGTCAGTCCCACTGTGACACGAAAATTTTATTCATTAGATTATACTATTTTTATCTACTATATACTATATTTTCATAATTAAACATATTTTAAAAATTAATTTTGATAGTTTTTAACGTTACATTATATACTCACGCCATTTGTTTTGCATGGCATCAAATTATAGAGTTGCTAGCCATAATAAAAGCAAAATTTATTTTTATAATTAAACATATTTTAAAAGTTAATATACATTACTTCGACATAAATATGTTCAAGACGACTTAATTGAAATGTTTATTGTTTTTTTAACGTTAACGTTGTTTTGGGTCAATTTATTTTAAAATCTTCGGTAACTCACAAAATTGAACCGATTTTGACATTAAACATATATTTTTGCGTTTGACCTAAACTTATATTCTATAAACAAAGATAAAACATCAAATTTATTTTTAAAATTTGAACTCAAAAATTTTGCTCAAAACAATTTTTATGTCTGATTAAAAAAAAAAAAGCTCGAAAAATAGTTATTATTTTCGAAGATTATTTTTAAACTCAAAGTGTAATGAATATTTTGAATGAAATAAACTGAATCTATATATTGATCAAAGAACATAAAATAATTTTTATTAAGACTTTTTGAGCGGCATGAATAATGATTAAAACTAGTTTTTTTTTTTTTGATATTCATAACGATTTCCATCTCTGGTGTATACAATAAATTTGTGTAATAAGATTAATTTATACACATTTCTAAGTGTCTACTAAGTATGTTTGAATAAGACCAATTTTACGTCTCTTTACATTTCGTCACGCATTGCCGCGTATCTAAAAAAGCCAAGTGAGATTAAGTGAAACTTTTAACAACACAAAGTCAATGTGAATGATATAGTGAACAAAGAGTTTGCTGCGATATAGCGTATTTTTTAGCTCCGACTAAGAAGACATCTGTACACTGATTAAGAAATAAGTTTCATTGAATTGTCGCGGGCAATTGCTTTAAGGAAAGTATTTTTTTAGTTATGTTTTTTTTGCGAAAAAAATTTAGCAATATTCCAACAAAAAGAAAAAAATTCATTCTGTTGTTCTCAAGACATGTTGATAATCTGTTCTGCTCATTAGACAGCACAATCCAATAAAAAGTGAAAAAATTAAGGCGATGAAACCATCATTCCCATTTCCATTCTCATATTGCGGATGAAACAGTTAAAACAAAAATTGAACATGAGGAATAAGTCTCTTATTATTTCTTCTTTCTTCTTCTGACTTATTCGGTTTAAGGGTCTGCTGAAGTCTAATTGCAGTATCTGTTCACCAGAGATGCGGCTGCGAGCGGGAGTCGTTCTTGAAGCAAAACTGCTCGCCATACAAAAATGTGTAAAAAAAATTAAACCTAATCCATAGCGAGGTTGTCCGCTGCGTTTGGGACACGCCACGTAGAAACCAGCTCCAATAAAAAATGCAACAACGCCTTGGATTTGTGGTGGGAGAGAGACTCCGTCGTCGAGTACTAGAATTCACTCCGGTGGATGAGCGTCTCGCCACAATCCGCATCAACATATCGCTGATTTGCGCCCAAGCCGTTTAGAAATTTGTACTAACACTGATGGCCATCCATTACGGCCACAACAGCATCGACTTTTTTTCTATTTATGCTGCAGTTAATTATTAGTAAAAACTGAATTTTTAATAATTTGTAGATTACAAAATAGAGCTAGTTTTAAATTTTTCAAAACTTTTCGTACTGGTCCTTATTTATATCTATTTTCTGAGGCGATATGAGTGAAAAAGTTATTGGTCAAGAACTTTTAGAATATAAAAATTGGGACTTATTTCACCTAACTTGTAGATATTTGTAGGCAATTATTAATTATAAAATTTATCACTTACCAATAATTATACTGAAAAATTGCTCAATAATACTAAGTGCTACATTTTCATATAAAAAATATGTTAATTTCACTTTGAATCCTTTTACAATATTAGTTGTCTCCGCGTCATTGACCGATGTGTTTAGGCATGTGGGACTGAAAACCTTCCTAAGCCAACTGATTACAGTTTCATCCAGCCACTAAAAATAAGTGCAAATCATTATTTTAAAATAAAATACATTCAGTAATTTTTATTAGAAAACATGTTATTTTAATTTCAGTATTCTAACTATTTTACTCATTTCGTATCTTATTCTTTTGTTTACTATTCCATTATCGTTATTTGAATTGATTCATCTTGAAATGTTTAATGGAGATAATTCGTTTTATTAAACGAACAGCTCTATTAATAACAGTATAATATTCTGACAAAATAATGCACGGAATTTTTGAAACAAGCTAGCGTATTTCTTGAATATTAACTTATGTCCTAGAGAAACAACGAAATGAAAATGACAGGAAAAACAAAAAGTAACCCTTTTCTTTTTATATGTTCTGCAAAAGTTATAACTCTAAGGCAAATTCATAAAGGCGAGAGATGGAGACGAAATTATTAGTTATCATGCGTTCTGTTTTTCCCCCGTAGCCCGTAGGGATTGTCAAAATCACTAAAAAGTCTAATAATAATAAAAATATGACAATCTCTACTGTTAATAAATGAAAAAAGTTGAAATCGCCCCGTAAGAAACTTCACATTTTGAGATTCGAAATTATTTTATGTTATAATCAGTAAAATGCAACAATGATAGAGGCAAATGAGATGCACACATACTTATTTATTTTATTGTTAGTTACATCTTATTTATGGAGCAGGTAAAGGTAATATCCATTTTGAGGAACAGGAGAAGGAACAAGTCATATTTTTAAGGCGGCAAGGCAAAGAGGAAGTTAATATGTATGTTGAGCTCAAGCCATTATTGATAAGCTGGTTTGTGCTCTCACATTTGTTATATATATATATATATATATGTATAATTGGCGCTTTGTAACTGCTGGAGCAGCGAGCTCCCCAATTTGTGGTTTTGTGTCTTGATATTTTTCCTACAAATGGAGGGACCTACAGTTTATACTAAGCCGCCTCCGAACGGCTCTTGGTTTTTTTACGAGGATCCTTTATTTCATGTCCGAGATGCACTCGTAGGGGTGGACATTTTCTGCCAAAGGGGTACCGCAATTAGAAAATTTAAGTTACATGTTCAAATTAAATTAATTTTCCATAACTTTTGGATGTTGATCGCGAGGATTTGAACCCGAGCATTCTGAATGGCAGTACGCAATGCTAACCACTCGGCTACTGCAACAGCTACATTTTTTTATCTTAACTTTAATATTATATTATTATTAGCTTTTTTGCGACCGATTTCGAAGTGGAATCGGTTTTCAGAACATACTCAAAAATATACAACAGAACACGTCTAAATTAGTTTGACAAAATGTTTTTTAAAAACCTTGATCAATTATTATTATAAATAACCGCTTCAGCGTTTATAAAGCGTCAATCTTAAATGTAAAAATCTTATGTCTGCACGAAAAATCCAGTAATTTCCAAAAGTTACCAACCGAATAACTTGAAATTTCGTCAGATTATTTCTGATTCCTGAGATGGGTCTTCCAAAAAAAAATCGGGGAGTGGACCGGGGACTGACCTATTCAAAAAACTCTTAAGTCCGTTTGTAACGGGTGTTCTCGGCAGATTGTTTCTATGATACCTGGGAAGGGTTTTACGAAAAAAATTTTGAGAAGTGGTCCAAGGACTGACCTATTCGCAAAAATCTTATTTATGGTTCGATTTACCTGAAATTCGTTACATAGGTGTTTTTTTTCTGAAGTTAAAAAGAATACTATTCTTCTCTCCGGGAAGTGGATTTGAACTATTAAAAAATCTTATTTATAGTTCAATTTACTTGGAAATTCGGTACATAAGTGGCTTTTTGTTTAGATTAACAGGAATACTGTAGTCTCATCTCACGGGGAAATTGACCAGAGACTGACCTATTCGAAAAAATTTACGATTCGGCTTACTTAAAACTCGGTACATATCTAACTTTTTGCTTAAGTTAAGTGGACCGGGTACAGACCTATTAAAAAAAATAAACTTATTAATGGATAGAATTTCTTGAAATTCGGTACCTAGATGTTTTTTTGATTAGATTCACATGAAGACTCTTCACTTTCCGGGAGGTGGACTAGGGACTAACCTGACGAAAAAAATCTTATGTATATTTTGATTTACTTGAAATTAGGTACATAGGTAACTTTATGCTAAGGTTCTCCCCGCGAAGTTGACCAAGGACTAACCTGTTCAAAAAAATCTTATTTGAAGATCGAATTACTTTAAATTTGGAACTTCATATATTAAAATGAAAAACTTATTCATTGATCCAATTTCTATAAATTCGGTATATAGATATGCTTTTGCTTAGATTAACAGGAAGACTGCATTTCTTTCCGGAAAATTCTCCCTTACGTATTTAGAAATCAACTGAGAAACAAGTTTATTCTCTTTCGAAATTGCGCAGCTTGCAATAGGATTTATCCCCCCCCCCCATTCGGTAGCCGGGAGCGCCTATGGGAAAGACAAAGAAACGTGGCAACAAATTTACATTGCAATTTATTGGTCGGATGTTAACTACGCTGCAACGATATGAACGCCGATGTTTATCGAGACGCAGTTGAAGAAACTACTAGCTTGGTAGAACAACGTCCTGAGGATTGTGACGGCAGCACTTACACACTTAAACATCTATGCTACTAATTAAGAGCATAATTTTATGCTATGGAATTATCACAACGTTCTAGAAACCCTTACACCACCTTTTGCAGACCATGAGCTCAGATTTCCACGAGAGACCCGCATTATATTGGCACTGTACCTATTCAGACTCACCAACTTACCAACTACTGATCCGCACCTGGCAAAATACCATGTTTCCTGTCCTCCCATTAGATGACCTCACTTACTTGGAGTGAGTTTGACGCTCCTAAGTGGGGTTAAAAACCGTTACAACAACAACAGGGAGATAGTATGAAAATTTTAATTCTTTAATTTTATTTTTTAAGAAAATTAAAATATTCCTAAAATAAAAGAAGTTTAATTGCTAAACACAAAACTGCTTTAAATCTCATATATATGTCAAAATTAAGACACCGGTAGATAAACACCTTTCTTCACTCCTGTACATTCTTTTGAACATCTTTTGTTAATTATTTCCTTGAAATGTTTGCTCATTTTACACAACAAAGCTCCACATTAATCGCTAAAATATCCTACAAAAATTATATGCGTTATTTACTACGGCTATAGTTGCAGGCTCTTAATGATTTTACAAACAGTTTTATCCTAGTCGTATTAAAAAAATAGTACATTAACGAATGGCTAGAGATTAATAAATGTTTAAATCTTTAGCAATACCAATATGACATAGTATTTGTTAATCAACTGCTTATATTTTATTTGCGAACTATTACAGAGACTTACATTTTCCAGTTGGCGCAGGAAGCTTCTATCAAATATTCCATGACAAGTTTCCTTAATATGTTCTTGAATACATTTCTGAACAAGAGATGTTAAGCTCTGACCTGCAATACCATCTAGAAGTTCCATTTCTCGGAGAGCTGTATTTACTTTATTTACCGTACTTTCCAAACTCAGACATTCACAAGAATTTATTTTTTTGTTGCAAACATGGCACTCTGCTTTTTTTAGAATCACATCTGCATCTAAAAAAATTTAATGAAATATAGATAAATGTAAATGGTGAAGTGGTAGAACAAAATTAATGTTACTTGTACTTTTACAGCATATTCTTAGAAACATCTTGCGTGAACACTTATTTCAAATATTAAATTTCCGCTTATGGCTGGTCCCAAGAACGCGTTAAAAAAGAAAGAGAGGGAACCATTACCTTCTAGTAAGAGAGCCATTTACTTTGTCACTATTGTTGCTGAAGGACCCGGAGAGAGTATAACGTCCGCACCTCGCCAGTGGCAGTATTTAGTGACGGGCTTAGGGATCTATTTTAACGTCATCGTCAGTCAAAACTGTCCGATAGACGCTTTTTATTCAGAGAAATATATTTTTTAATAAAGAGCAGGGGGAGCATGGTTTTTCTTTTTTTTCTATTACACTAATACGGTAAGTTTTTTTCGAATACAATAGATTCACTTTTATTAAAGTGTAAAAAATACCTACAAAAATCAAAGATAAGACCTTCTTTGATAACCAGCTAAACGGCTCTAAAAGGAAAAAACCCGTGAAAAGAGGATCGACTCTCACCACCTCTTTGTCGATTTTAAGGCCGCTTCGACAGCGCGAATTGGAGCTGCATTTACACCGCTATGACTGAATTTGGTATTCCCGCAAAACTTATACGGCTGTGTAAACTGACGCTAGACAGCACCAGAAGGGCACTCAGAATTGGGAAGGACCTCTCCGACCCGTTCGATACCAAACGAGGTTCCGGACAGGGTGACTCCATATCGTGTGACTTCTTTAATTTGGTGCTGGAGAGAATAAAAAGAGCTGCAGAGCTGAATAGAGAAGGTACAATCTTTTATAAGAGTGTACAGCTGCTGGCGTATGCCAATGAAATTCACATTATCGGCCTCAAAACCTCGCCGTTAGTTCTGCTTTTTCTTGACTCAGTAAAGAAGTAAAACAAATGGGTCTGGTAGTGAATGTGGGCAAGTCGAAATATCTCCTGTCATCACACAAACATTCATCGCATTCGCGACTCGTAGATGTTGACAGTCATCGCATTCGCGACTCAGCTCCTACGTCACGTATTAACATCAACAACAATGTCAGCCTGGAAATCCAACGGAGAATCAGTCTTGACAACAGATGCTACTTTGGACTGAGTAGGCAATTGAAAAGTAAAGTCCTCTCTCGGCGAACGAAAACAAGTCCCTCATCACTCTCGTCCTGGTATATGGTGCGGAAGCATAGACGATGAAAACATCTGATGATGGAACGACGAGCTGTACGAGTTATATGGTGATATTGATTTAGTTCAGCGAATCAAGAAGTAGCGGCTGCGCAGGCTAGAGGTCATGCGGTCCTGATGGTTGCGAATACTCCAACTTTGAAAGTTTTCGATGCAGTACCCGCCGGTGGAAACATAGGTAAACCTCCATTCCGTTGAAAGGACCAGGCAGAGAAGGACCTTTCGGTACTTGGTATTTCCAATTGGCGCCAAACAGCAAAAAGAAGAATCGAATGGAGCAGTGTTGTTAACTCGACTAAAATCGTGTAAGCGGTGTCTACGCCATTTCAATTCTGCATTCACGATGATATCTAACGGCTCTCACGACACCTGGCTCTACGTACTGCAGTTGGTCCATAATTTATCCGAATTTTCGGCGACCTAACCCTGGTCAGGCCATCAGGTAGTTCTACTTTAAGCATATAATGGTTAGATGCAACCAATTCAATGGCTGATGTCATTGTTCGCCCTACTTAGGTTCTAAGACACATAGGGCGTGTGGCTCTGGCTGCGCTCTACCCGTAAGTTACAAGTAGCAACTCCCTCACTACCCGTTCCCCGAAAACATACTAGACTGCTACAACTTAACTGCAACAGACTCCAGGGAAAGATCGACAAGGTAGTCGATTTAGGAACCTACTTTTAAATACATTTTTATCATGTTACTTAAAACTTGTATCAATTTGTTTTTATGTTATTTAAATTTTTTTGTTGGCGCAGCAAAGTAGTTTCGGCCATCAACATATATTTTATAAATATATTGTATTAGTACTATTTCATGCAACCTTGAATTATCAGTCTTATATTCCACTTCTTTTCATTTACGTTCTAAACTTCTAATTAGTTGTTTGTAAACAGCGTTAAAGTATAGTCATTAAAGGACAAATTGAATATCGAGCATTAATAATCGTGTTTCATTTCTGATACTTTTAATTATTATCATTTTTTTTAAGCAGGAGAGTCAAATAAATTTCATTAAAAAAATATTAGTTTTTTATATCACATTCGTTTGCAGACGAAAGGTAGGATCAGAATTTCTTTTAAGTGATTTGAATTTTGAAGATGGTATAACTGAAACAATTGCGTCTCTATCAATCAAAAAATATGAGAATACTAACAAATATTATTTTGATTATTATTATTTCTGTGTCTATCTGCCGTAATTTTGTTTAAAGTTTGATACCTCCTGGTGGTTAAATCAATTAAATTTTTAATGCATTGTTCTAAAATGTCTTTATTATTAAAAGTGGAGCTATTGAAGGTACCTGAGATTTACTAATTATATCGAAAATTTTATCAGCCAAAACATTAATTTCAACTTTATTTTAATTGTTAGAAGAAGTTGAAAGAATTTGAATTTTTTGAGGTAATTTACGAATCCATAATTTACAAAGTAAATCGTGCCTAACAATTGAATCCGAACCAGTTAACGATTGCATACATTCATCTGAAAAGTTTTGAAGGAGAACGATATCCAAGTTGAGCATTTGAACATAACTGTTCCAATCTCTTTTCTTCACTAAGAACTTTCTAATTGTTTCGTATTTCTTCGAAAACAGAGGTCGATTAATAACATCGCAATTTTCGAAATACTTTCTCGTTGATGAGAAGCTAAAACATTTTGAAATTTAACGATAATTATAAATATTGTTAATTGCAAATTGTCTCTCAACAAGCAAAAACCATGCTTCAGTAAATGTCCACTCCAAAACGGAGGTAATTTAACTGTTTTGGAATTTGATCTAATCTTATCTTCAAATCGTAATAAATTATGTGTATGAATGTCTTTTGTTGAATTTTGTGTTGTATTTAAATCTATATTAGAGTTTGTGTTTCTGTTGTTGTAAAATTACGTTTGAAAATATTTATGAAGTTAATGTGTATGCTAATTAACAAACATGATATTCATGAATAAATGTGAGTTTATAACCTCTAATCTGGATCAACTTTTGACGAAAAAAAGTTCTTTGTAATTGCTTTTGTGCCACGCGTTCTTCAAGAACAATGGAAGAAATAACCGCATTATTAAAAAAAAAACACTCAAGATGTGCATAAGTAGTTAACGCGCATATGCTCTTAGAGAACTTTGTAGAGATATTTTTTTTGCAAGCTTAAGAAATTTTGCAAATCCGCCAAATAAAGAATACCACATATATAAGAGATGATCGCCATTCTTTAAACCAAATATATGTATATCTTGTGGCGATGTTCAATTTATGCATAGAATGAGAGTCTAATTTTTGCAATTAAACTCTTAATTAACTTTTTTTTAGTGTTTACCGGTACATGAGATGAACTCACAACTTCATTAACGTCATCAAACGAAAGTGTGGAATTAATGATGAAACCCTAGTCCTTGGCTTTGTCGGCTAATTTAAGTCGATTGGTGTCAATAAATAGATAGCTGAGTGGCGACCGAAATTACAAAATTTAACTTAATTTTTCATTTAAATTAATATCTACAACTTTTTGGGGTATTATGACACCAGGATTTGAATCCTTGCCTTTCGAATGGCAGTTCGCTATGCTAAACACTCGGCTACCGCGGTTTCAGATTTTTCTCTTTTACGAACGGCGAACCAAACACAACAGCATCAAAATGAGTAGTTGATCTCTCTTTTAATTTTTGCCAATTCCTCTTCCAATGAATTTACTTTTTCAGAGAAATTATTGGATGCAGTAAAATCTTTCTCCAGACTATTGCACCTTCGTGCAACTTTCTCAATACGCTTTATTACCGCCTCAAAACTCTCTTGGAGCTTAGCCGCGAGCTTTCGCTCAAAAACAACAATACATTCTGATAGCTGCATATACACCTTATTGTTGCGACGGGTTTTCGATGCAATCGGTTACACACTCGCTCTCTCTTTTATTTTCAATGCAACAGCTAGTTTCGAGTTATTAGCGCCAATGAGTAATGATGGTTTTTATTTATTGTACGACTCAGCTGGCTGACCGTTCAAGTATTTTTATTTTTCGGCAATTGCCTTTGCGTCGATCGATTGGTAAGGTAAGTCAAGTGCGTTGACAGTTACTGCTAAACCTTCAACTTAAAATGCGAAAACTTTTATCTTTTTTCCATTAGCTTGAATAATTATGGTTGAATATTGAAAATATTGTTGCTATGTGTATTTACTTGAACATCTGAGTGGGATAATGCATTAGCCTGCTGGTTTGAATTCGGAGCGACATTAGTTTTATGCAGTAGAGTGAGTTTTAAGACGTCAAAATAATTTGAAGTGGTGCCGTTGCTCAACCGTACCAATACAATGCAACCTGCGTTCTATAGATTCGTTCAAATAAGTTGATTTTCGGTGAAATGGCTAGAGCAGTGGCAAAACAAATTCTTTAAGTTAATATAATGTAACTGACTGAAATTTGAATAGATGCTTCAGCAAGTTTGTAAAACCAATCGCTGAATAATTTAATAGTAGGAATTGCATTATATTTTGGAAAAATAGCTCAGTCAAGTTTATGATTATACATCTGACATCCTTGTGCAGAAGTTCTTCACTCGCAAGGCAAAATAAAGAAGAATAAAGATTTTTAATTTTAAGAACAAATTCATATAAGATGATAATGGTTCGGAAATAATTGTATTAGTGAACGATGAGTAAATGTTACGAAAGTGTTGAAATCGGAATTGTTCCTGGTAGGCCTTGAGTAATCTGCTCCGGCATCACTGAACGTGATTTGGTAAACATGTGGTCATGTAGGTGATAATGTTGAGATAGGTCGTACAAATTTTGCTGATCCACTGTGTTTACACCGATCACAGTTTCAGTTTACGACAGCTATGTAAAATGGAATCGACCATCTTATTTGTGACATTGTACAAAACAAGCAAAGAGATTTCACAATATTAGAGTATAGCGGCATTTTAACATCAGTAAGATATTAACATAGAAACAAACTGTTGAAAATTCAATTTGTAAAGGCAATCGTAGAACTCACAAAAATTTCGCATGCAGGATCGCCAGTTATATAGATATAAATATCTTATAACTTTTATATTTGTTTGAAAATGAAAATTATAATAATTCAAAAAAAGAAAAAATTAGTTTGGTTTAGGGAGACTTTAACACGCATTGTTGCCTGTCAAATAACCGTAGGGAAAAGGAAATTGCAGAATAGATGGCTTTTCCGTTGACCACCGGACGAATTTGGATACTCCAAATTTTTCAGCCCCGACAGAATTAGCATGCTGATACTAAAACAAAACCTGGCACCGATGACTACTCGAACTTATCCTCTTCTTCAGTGCACATCGTTTACAATTCCAACCAGCGAAATAATAGGCTACATATGTCACCAGCTAGACGAAGGAATAAGGCTCGAACCCTTTGTGAAAGGCTATGGCGCAAAAATTCCGACAATTAATAAGCCGAAGTTGCGAGGGTGTGTCAAGCTTTAAAAAAAATTTCCTATAAATCTATGCGGTTTAAATTGATTTTATGACAAACCGAAGTTCCCGAATAAAAGCTAAATAAGTTTGATATCTTTGGTTGTGATCCCAAAGGGAAATACGAAGCGAAAAAAAAATTATCATTTTAACCACCACTCATTATATAATTTCATACGCTTAGCGGCAATCTATATCTGCGAAGACACACAAGCAGATGCGGTGGGTACCAAGCAATATAGCAAAAACGATGAGAAACACTACAGTTTGCTAGTGTTATGAGTAGTGATATTTAAAAAAAATAATTGCAATCTTTTTTTTGTGTAAAACTGAGTCAACTGAGCTTGCAGCGATATCGGCATCCGCGTCCGAACCGCTTTTTTTTTTGGGTCGTTCTCTAAGTCGCCATTACCTCATATCATAAATTTTATAATTTGTTATATTACGGTTTCACTTGAACTCACCTAGAAGAACTCTAGCATTTTTGGAATGCAACTGCAAGTGAATCTGGAATGCCACATAATAAAAAGCTAGTACCGCCTCATTAAATCCTGTTGGCATCTGGCCCAATAATGCTTCCAATAATGTAGAATTTAAATTCCATTTTTTATTTGGAATAAGAGACAGTTTGTTTAATCGGTTCAATAGCAGCTTTAGACAATTGAAGGTTTTATACAAATTCTCCACCGCAGCAGCAAATCGAAGAAATAATTGATATCGCAATTCGAAGTCGCATTTGGAAGTATCAACTCGAACTGGAAAATTTGACCAGAACAAAGGAACAACCTTATCTCGAATGGCAGATTGAAATTCACTCCATAATATTTCAGAAACACTCTCGCTTAGTCCCAGTCTTATCACATCTTCGCGCAATTTCTGAAAGTTTCCACTGTCCGTCTCCACGAAACAAACCTATTGGGTAAAATTCATTAATTTGCTTTATAAATGGAGACAAACTTACGCTTCCACTCAAGACAGGAAAATTCCTTGATAATTCTATCCATAAATTATCTATATCAACCATTTCAGCACATATTTTCAAATACTTTTAAACTTTGTATATGTTAGGAATGAAATGATTACTAGATAAAATGAATATCGATATAAATCGAAGTTCCAAGTTAAATCGAAATTTTTAGCACGTTCCTTCCGCCATATAAAACGATTAACTAGTTTTCTGCTTATTGTAAAAACATGAAAGTGATTTCTAGAACTGAGTACAAGGAACTGTGAGGTACATACAAGACCGACCAATACGACGGTTAATCGGTCGCAAACTGAACTCGATGGTGGCAAGATGGGTGTAAATATACGTAATAAATCAATGCTAGTCAAGTTTGATGCAACTAAATAATTGTACGAGGATTTTGAAGACTTTTATTTAACAAACCAGTGATCGAACTTCAAAGATTTACGATATCATCGAGAAGTATTGAAGTCGTTACAAAATTACGCAGAACCTAGCATTATATTTAGTATTTCGATTTAGCGAATGTTGAATATCTGGTCAATGGTAATCTTCCCACATCTGAAGCCACACTGATAAGGTCCAATCAGTTTATTGATGCCGCTTTGCTGTTTTTTAAACTGACGATTGCTCTTCGCCCCACAGGTGTTGTGGTCGGTAGCAAGATTGCGAGGTAAGCGTACTTTTCGAAATCAAATAGCTTCGCTGTACGTAAGGAGTTTGAAATGCCGCCCTATAGCTCCCTAACACTGGGTTGCTGATGAGTGCTCTCAGAGAGTAGGATTGCAAGTCGGGTAGAAAACGGCTCGGCAGCCAGTTTTGATTGCAGTTATTCAACGTCGAACCTTCTTTGTGTTCGCTGATGGGCCTTCTTTCACACATAGATGCGGGTGCGTATCTTCGCTTCTACAAGATAGTTATCCGAGTCGATGTTAAGACCTCGGAACGTACGCACATCTAAAACACTGGATACATGCCTTTCGTCTATCACAACAAGTGCGATCTAGAGACAGCCAAGTAGCTTGGTGAATTTTTTTTTGTGCTGCAATCTAGTGCTAGAGACAACCATAATTCGGGTCACGGTGGAGTCGATCTACCTCAGACCTTTGGGGATGTTTCATCCTGGAGGTTAAGTTTTCCGAATGTTGTCCCCAATAAACCTTCTTGCTCACCCACTTGGCGGGGGCATCTTTGGTCAAATCATCCTTCTCTTTCGGAGGGCATGTCAGCCCTCGGCGACGGAGTCTCTCTCCCACCACGAATCCGACACCTTTATATGGTTGCTGCCGTCCATCGAATTTCTTGGACAGCGGTGAGGTCAGCTATTAATTTTATGAGGACATCAACTAGCTGAGCAGCGGCACCTTCCCAATTAAAGAACCGGACACCACCTATGTAGTCGCTGTTTTGTTTGAAACTTTACCAACGAGTGTCGGCCAGGTAGGCAGGTAGTAAGGTAGTTCATAGTGCACCTTGGCAACCACAGCGGTAATGAGGAATGCTCAATGTTCGATAGTAGCAGTAAATTACTGATAGTGTCAAGAGTCTAACGCTACCAGTACAGATCGCGATCAGGGTAGGTATTCGGTTGAGCACTTTGTGTAGATATACTCTGTTGATGTTAATGTGCTGATGGTATCAGATGGTGTGATGTACTGGGGAAGGATGAGATAACGGCTAATAGTGCTATCCTGTGTTCGCTGCTTTCTCGATTGCAGCAGCGGGACCACTCTACCCAGGCTCCTCATGCCTGATATTATTAGAGAGGTGGGAGGGAAGTTAAAAACCTTGATGAGTTCGTATGATCTGGAACCTGAAGAATTAGGATCGAATTGCTCATTCCGTCCGGATCAATAAATTTAGATGCTATCGCCTATCCAATAACCTCCTCAAAGTCTTTCTTCGAGAAATGAATATTTTGATATTCTATGTCATTGTGGATGACATGTGATGGTGTTGTGAAAAATGAACGCTAAGCTATGGTAGCGGTGCAGCTCATTCGGTAAGATTTAGTATCGGGTCCGTTCAGATATTGAACTGGTCCTGGTCTGGTGTGTCTCGGGGGGCTTTCGTAAAGCCCTGTGGGAAGTAGTGATGCGTGGGTCATGTTTATTGCTGCCTTATAACACCTTGGATGGGATACCGCACCTTGGTGGTAGTTGGCAGCAGTACAGGGTACAACTTCTATAGTATGGAGAACTTATGCGTCTTTCGACGGGTGATGAGAGGGCTAGAGCATGCACGAAAATGGTAGAGCAAGAATTGCATTGGACAAATGTCACGCTCCGAGGCACAACGGTCTAACAACAATTACTTAATTCCATCAAGTGGAACTGATATTCGTCATTTCGTTAATTTTTATATTAATACCAGATAATATTGTTACAATATTTCGCTTTGTTTTTCGTAAAACCCTTTCCAAGAATCATGGAAGCAGTCTGACGAAGTTCAAACTCAAGCGTACGGTAAATTTTGTAGAACACCCGTTCCGTAGGTACATAAGTGTTTTTTCGAATAGGCCAGTGCCGGGTCCCCTTTTCGAATTTTTTTTTCTTACAAGGCTTCCAAGAATCCATGGAAACAATCTGCCAAAATTTTAAGTCAATCGGTAGTTAACTTTATGGGATTCTTTGAGATTACTGGATTTTTCCAAGCGGACATAAGATTTTTATATCTAAGAATATCAATGAATCATTTCGTTACTCTGCTAAACAGATTCAGATTAAATATTATTCAGTTATAGTTTGTAGTGATTTTAATGTTAATCTTCTTGTCAAAAATTCTTATACTAATAATTTACTTGACACTCTATCCAGTTGCTCTCACTCTGTGGTCAACCGATCTCTTCCTACGCGGTTTGCAGTGAATTGCACTCCTACCACTACTTCATAATTTCTGACTTAACTACTTAACTTTTGTATCTGACCATGATCTCATTGTCTGCTGTTTGTACACAAAGATCGATCGTTGTTGCATAAATAAGACTATCTCATTTAGAGATTTCCGCTTTGTCAACACAAATTTACTTCTTTCTGAATTGTATGGTGTAGTTTGAGGCGAGTGTTGGGTTTAAACATCTACCGATGAAAAACTGGGTTTCTTAATGGTAGTTTTAAAGTCTGCCTTCGAGAGACATGCCCCCATTCGTACAATCACTGATAAGTCTATGTCATGTCGATGGTTTACCACAAAATCTCTGATATCAATTAAGTTACGAAATAAACTTCATTCCATATTGAAAAAAACCGCTTTGGAGAATTGGAATGCATTTGAATCGGTTATCAGAAATGAAAAACGAGCTTACTTTAACAAGAAACTAAATTCTGGTCTCTCAGCAAAGGTCCTATGGCGTAACATTAAACGATTTGGTGTTCATTGTAAGGAGAATGTCGAATGTTCCTTAGAAGCAAATGTAGTTAATAATGCCTTTCTTCAAAACTGTGTACCTAACAGTAACACTATTAACTTTATCACCACAGATGATCTTTTGTTTAGAGATTATTGTTTTCTTTTTTCAGCTAATAGTGAATATGATGTTGCAATGAGTATATTTAAAATCTCATCTATTGCAATAGTGCATGATGGTTTATCAATTAAATTTATTAAAATTATACTACCTTGCATTCTTGGGACGCTAACGTACATTAATAATCATTATATTACGACGTCTTGTTTCCCAGAACAATGAAAAATTGGCACTGTACTACCTGTCGGTAAAAAGAACCATCCTTGTAGTCCGTCTGATTTTCGACCAATAAGCATCCTCGCTGTATTGTCTAAAGTTTATGAGATTCTTTTAGCTAAGCAAATAAACGAATTTGTATGCAAGCACAACTTACTATCTTTGCTTCAATCAGGCTTCAGGAAAGATCACTGATGACATTCGATCCAACATGGATGAAAATAAATTCATCTTACTTTGCTTACTTGACTTTTCAAAAGCATTTGATATGGTCAACCATGAATTATTAAGTTGTAAGTTGAAAGCGTACTACGGTTTTAGTTGTAGTGCTTTAAAGCTTGTGAAAAGCTGCCTTGTTGACAGGTTTCATTTAGTAAACATTGGGGAAGACACATCGCAACTCAAGTTAGTTACTTCAGGGGTGCCTCAAGGCTTCATGCTTGGTCCCCTGCATTTCAGCATATATATTAATGACATCTTCAGTGTGTGAAAATTTTCAAATCTGCATGGTTATGATGATGACGTTCAATATTTATCTGCACCTTTTGATCAAGCTTAAGACTTATGTAAAAGCATTAATACTGACTTGGCTGACTCTAGCTGAGCGGCTGCTAGCGGTCTAATTTTAAATAAAAACAAGTGCTGTGTGCTGCCAATGAGTGCTAGAAAACTTTCAAATCTGGATTGTGGATTTGTTTGGATGTCCCCAATATTCATAGACAATTGTCCCTTAAAAATTTTTTTTATACGGAATTCATCCATTTACAGAATCAGCTAAAATATAAGCCTAACAGTAAGTGTACAAATCTTAAAAATTAAATTACAAACATGATAGCTCGAGTTATTTAACTCTGAGCCCTTTTCAAACTACTGCGCTCTCCTTAGAAGGCGGGAACATCTCTTTGTTGCAGGCGGGAATTTCTCGATAGGTTGCATAAAGCATTAGCTAGCGGTTTTGGATGATTTCTTAGCTCTGTGAAGTACTTCTTCCTGCTTCTTTCAATTTCAGGCTTAACCAGTCTTGATGAATGTTAACGTTACGAACGTACCATGGTGCGCCGGTTAGTGCTCTTAAAATTTTAGACTGGAACCTCTGTATTTTATCGATATAGTTGCACAGGTCGTACTCCACAGTTGAATACCATACATCCAAATTGGCTTTAATACTGCGTTGTAAATGAGGACTTTATAGTCTAGTTTTAGACCGGAGTTTTTATTTAAAAGCCAATTTAAACTAGCTGCTTTTAATTTCATGTGTAGTATTTTTTCCGCTATGTGTCTCTTCCATGTAAAAAACATTTACTTAGGGAATGTTTATACCATTTAAGCGAATTGCAGGACATGATTGAGGTCTTAAAGTCAATGTGACGTGCTTACACTTTTGTTCATTAGCTTTAATTCTCCAGTTTTTTA